GTGGTGACGGACTGATAGGGAGAGACAAGATTCAGAGAGGGGAATGAATGCATCGGCTGTCTTAGTCTGGGTTTTTTTGTTTCATTTTTTTAAGGGTGAGGTAAAAAAAAAAAAAAGAATATTGAGGGGGGTGGGAGAAAAACAATTTGTTACCTTTGGGGCGTTAGGGATCGGAAGCAGTGGAGTTGCGTTTCCGTGACTTGCAGCAAACAGGAACAGGAAACCCAAGCGCGATGAAGGCACCTAAGAGTACTAAGAATCCTGTACCTACATATGTACGTATGGAGTATAGACATACATATGCACCTGGTATATTAGTTGATCGAATTATTTAGTTATTATTATTATTATTTTATTTTATTTTTCTTTTTTCTTTTTGTTTAAGGGCATCTTTACGTGCGCCTTTTTCCTTTCCCCTCTTTTTTGGGGGGCTCTTCTCTGATCTATAGAAATTTTCTGAACGGTAATGTTGAAAGATGAGGAACCCAAGAAAAATGGTTGTCCAAGGGTAGTCTATACTTTGCTCTCTCCACTTCACTCACCCCAGGACCCATCGACACTAATCAATCCCTGCCCGTACCTGAACACATTCCTTTCTAGGATTCCACCTTTGCCGTCGATCCCCGTACAAGAAACTATTATGGAGTACACCGCAGAGTACTGTAATCTCAATGTCCAAAAGAACAACCGGCACTGGCTGATCGGTCAGTCAATGCTTTGGAATCTTAGTCTTGAAGTCTTGATGTGTCGCAGTGGGGAAAGCCTACTAATTGAGTTTTTTTTTTTTTTTTTAAAAAAAAAATTAGAAAAATTAAACATTTGGTGTACAGCACTATCGACCTATACGAAATATGGAGTAATTAGGCTGGTCCCAGTAATTTTACGATTTTCGCCTTTTTTCTCTCTCTCTTTTCCCCATCAAGATTTATATCACCTCATGTCTATCGCCTTTCTCCGAATTCAACGTTTTACGCTTGGACAGATTTGGACTGAACAATCCCCCCAAAGTTAATTCCAGTTACCTAAGCCAGGATGACAACAATAAAAATTACCATGACAAAGAATCCCGCCAACTTACGGAAGAGATGCAAGATGTTTCTCAGTAAGACAATGGATTCGGACGATCGTCTTCCGATTGATTCCTTTCTCCAAGCCTAAGAGGACGATTTATGTGTGTGAAGAGGGTGTGTGATACTCAAAGTGTAGTGCAGGATGTGGACTCGGGACGCAAGGGGAATTGCTCCATCGGGCAAGTAGGTAGATACCGACATGGGACTTATCTGGAGCCACATGCTGGACATAGCTAGAGTGATTAGTGTCCTTCGTTAGTCGGTTAGTTTGAGTATGGAGTAAAGTGTGTGGTCGGTCTTGGCTAAATTGTCATTGTACCCTTCTTTTTGGGTAGGGCCGAAAGTCCATATGTGTTGCCTGCTGGTAACAGTAACTCTACCGAAGGGAAGATGTTTAACATTAATAAAAAGAAAGCAAAAGAAATCAAAGTAAGCGACATGGAAACGAAAGGAAAAAAAGAGCAAGAAAAAAAATACCAAGCGATGCAGACGTTTCGAGCTCCCTTCAACTTTCCTACCCCCTGTTCCAGTTACACTGCAACCGAAGCCAACCAAATCAAATTCTTGCCACTCGTCGGGAGGACAGGGGGTACGGTGGATTTTTGGGTCTCCGATTTGATGCTGCACACGCAACCGTGATGACGGACTCCTTTGCCCTCGTCTTGTACTTCGTAATATTTTTTTTTTTTTTCGAATTTTAGCTAATAAATCGGTGCTTGCGGCGGCTATCAAGCCAAGGAAAGGTCAGGAATGATTCACAGTTTAACCTTGTTTCACAGACCATCTGTGTGATTGATAGTTTGAGGTATACTTAGTAGACCTCTAGAGTATGTGACTAGTGCTATGTCAGTAAGCCGGATTTTTTCTATAGCAGACTGTCATATGCAGGCATTGTCCTCCTTGATTGTGGTTTCGTCTGGTCCGGAGTCTTGCATTTGCCTCGTGTGCTGCAGTTGTTCCATGTCATTGGCCACCTCACCCTCCCTTGTTGGATGAATCATGGATCTTTCCAGGATGGCCCACAGGTTCATCCATCCATAACTGATAACGGGGGGCCACGCTACACCCGAGCTCCACCACAGGGAGGTTTTCTCTAGATTCTCAAAGACTTATATTGTGTAGTATTATACCCCCTGAATGCAGTAGGCAACAGTGGAAGTGAGGTAAAAAATAATAGAAAACAACAATAAAAACCATAACCATCATCAACTCATAGGGATGAGACCACTCTTTCTCTTCTTTGCTTTTCATAAGGGAGGACGGGAAGCTTTAGACCGCTCATACAAGGAGCCTTAGCGCCCAGGCTCATGGCTGGTACCTGCGTCGAATTAAATGATTTAATCCGCTCATCTGGCTCAATGCGGTTTAGTAGATTCTATGTGTCCCCCCATTCGACTTGATAGGTATTTTGGATTCAAATTCTATCAATTCTGTCAATGTTATTCTTTTTTTCTCTTGAATCTTTTTTTTAGGAGAGAGGAGGGGATAAGACTGTTAATACAAGGATAGGTATACTCTTTCTCGGTATTTGGTGAGAATTAAGGGATGATAATCAGTCCATACGACACCGTCCGCCATCATCCGCTTCCAATCACGCCGGTTGTCTCAAAAAGGAGACCGACAATCCATTACATCATGGACTCTCGTTCCTGAGAGACTAAAGATCACTAGCGTCCATGCACGTAAATTGTCAACCGCACAGATGTTTCAGGAGTCATGTGGTTAGAGATGCAATCCAACGGGGATTAAACCCAGTCAATTTGCTCAGGGAAAGTCCGGGGTACATACGTAAGAGCGGTCAGCTGTTCATTGACATTCCCTCTCCTGTCAGACTTTAGCTTGGAATCCATTGACTATCTTTTCCTTGTCTTCTCTTGGATCATCCTCTGTCATCCTTCCAGGCTTCCACAGCAGTGACACCCTCTAAGCTAAAGTAGACCTCCGTGTATGGATGTATGTCCATAATTACGGTATAATGGGTATGGTTGACAGGATGGTTCGCATAAAAGCTGGGCGAGCACGGACAGCTCCAGCCAACACGAACCTCACCCTTGGAATACGAGATATTCCATCCCTCCGCCCCGACGGGATTGCAATGCATGAATCATGACTCTACATACTACGAGTGGTACCTGGACAGACCAAGTACCGGGAGGACGGTACCCTCGTTCTGATAGGATACCAGATCCATGACAAAAAGAGACGATCGTGACACAGGCCCCTTCTTTGATTCCTTGGACAGAACGATTCATAAAGCTCTTTATCTCACCACCCCCCAAGCTGACGGAAAGAAAGAGTAAGCACACCATCTAGACCAATCGACCACTGAGGCATTATTCCAAATCACACACCGCATCTTCTTGCCCATCGTGCAGAACCCACAGACCTCCTCCCAGTGGCAAATGCCTCAACGGTTCTTCCACCAAACAATCTCTCCACTCAGGGTACAGGGACATGTCGATCAGCCTCTGTCTGGTGTCAGGGATAGCTTGATTGCTCATCAATTGCATACACCGGAGAAGTTAGTCATCGTACATGTCTCCACCCTGGCGCCCAGCTGACACCCCCTGCAATGCAGGTTAAGTCTAAATTAACGGCGTTGGGTACATCAGGGATTAAGTACAGATAAGCTAGTATCCGTCAACGGTTCAATTATGGTTATGTTACTCGCACTATGGATGGAACCTAGTAACGGGCACCTAAGTACCTAGAAATTTGAAGGGCAAACGGGAGGTACAACCAATCACCTTCTCGGGGGGTGGGTAGCTTTCTAGGTACTATTGTCAAGGCATAAACACATGTCCCTATAGTTAAAGTCTTCTAAAACACTTTCTGTCCTTCCCAAGGACAAGGCACTTCGTGTCACAATCCGTTTCGGCGTCACCGAGATTTCCAACCGCTCCCGTCTAAGCCCTATGCGGCCTCAACCTACTACTCATGGTGGTACATTCCTATATTGGACCTATTATCACTTTTACCTTGGGCATCATTCTTCACAGAAAACAATCGACCATCTATGCCTAACGGTATATGCGCGCCGCGTCAACATTTGGTGCCGGGCGTCTGGTATGTTCGAGTGAACTGAACTTCTAGGCAACACTTATCAGCATTCGACCTGACAGGGTCTTGCGCCCGGTAGCTACTACACGCGGCATAGCACTAACTGGAGAGCTCTTAGCTTAATACCCTTCGTTATCAATATTGCAGATCGCCGTCTACCTGCAGATCTGGCCCGGCCTGAACAACTTAGCCATAAAGGCGCATGCTAGTTCAACGCTCGCTCTTAGTTTCCTTTGTAGGCCTTTCTTTGTCGGCTTGACCGTGGACCCTGGACTGGTAGAACACAGAAATTACTTGAAGCCTTCTAGAAAGGGGAACTGAACCCTAAAATGATCAACATCCATGAGATGCAATTGAAAGAAACTCCCACTGCATTCAGGTCTCCACAGGAGGTCGTACCACAAAATCATGAAATGCACCTACGTCGACAGCCTTCAGCTCAACTATAGAAAAGGACAGTCAATCGGGCGCTTTGGGGCCGAGAGATTGGGATATTCATAATTCTAGGGGGGTTACCCCTTTTAGGGGCCACTGCCTTGATAGATCCGTTTGTATGTATGCTTGACAGGGAAAGTTCCACCAACCGCCAGATAATGCATGACTTTTGATATGGCAACACCCACTACCCCAATCAGCACCTAGAATACAACACTCAGAACCAATCCACTGTAGAAAGTAGCCATGCAGATATTCCGTACAACCATCGTAAACCACAAGAGGTTCTTATCGTGCTGACAAAGCAGAACGAACCATGAAATCTACTTTGACTAGTTCAACGCATTGACCAATTAAGTAATTATCTTCAACCCCAGACTTTCTCCAGCATCAAAAAACAACCCCAATAGAAGCACAAGAGCGACACTAGTAGCCATGTCGCCTACGCAAGAACACCTCTCCCCAAAAAGAGCCTACCTCCTCTTCTACAATGCCATATCCATAATCCTCTGGCTCCGCATCCTCCTCACCGTCCTCACAACCCACGACCCTGCATCAACATACACAACTCTCGAGCCCTGGACGCGATGGACGCAGACCCTAGCAGTCGCAGAGATCTTCCACTCCGCGGCCGGTAAGACCAGATCCCGTCTCACCCCCCTATATCATGTACATAGTACTAACCCCCGGGGTGAAGGAATCACCCGAAGCCCCGTCTTCACAACCTTCACGCAAGTCTTCGGCCGCAGCGTACAGGTCTGGGCCATTAACTATGCCTTCCCGGCCGTGACTGCCCCATCGTGGGCCTACCCAGCGATGTTACTCGCCTGGTCTGCGGCAGATACCGTCAGATACCTATATTTCGTCGTAATGCTTGCCGGGCTACCGATACCCGCTGCGTTGAAATGGCTAAGGTATGCTTAACTAACCAACCAACCAACTCCATACCCCAGTTGCATACCAGATTGTTGTTGAACTAACACGAGAAAAAAAAATAGATACTCGCTCTTCTTCGTACTATATCCGATTGGAATCAGCAGCGAATGGTGGCTAATGTATCATGCTGCCAATGCCACGTCTAGTCTTTTCGTGGCTGGCATCTTCTACTTCTTTCTCGTGCTTTATGTGCCTGGTATGTTCCCTTCCTGTTGTTATTTGACCTTCTCTGATGGAGCGGAATAGGAACGCCTATGATGTATAAATATATGGTTAGCCAGCGGCGCAAGACCTTGGCTCGGTCGTAGGTGGAGGGTTTGCTTCTTGTGTGAGATTTGGTCTTGATGAAGGGAAGGGGGTTGGGTGATCTTCCATCAAACTTTTTTGTACAGTATGTTGTACATATATTTGTTTCTGTTTGGATATAGTCTAGTAGCTTGCTTGGTCTGTGTGTATATATAAACCTGGTGGATGTTGATGAGAGAATTCTAAGTGGTGTGATTTTGAAATGGTATGGACGGGTTCCCCCCTGGGACTATGTACTAGTCGTACCTCGTCATGATAGGAGTGTGACTAATGGGAGGTTAAAGGTAAACAACGTCTGTGTTAGGGTGGTGTGGGTTGGGAAGATGGCTGGGCGAATTCAATACTGAATCCGAGGCTGCATTTTAGGGAGTTTAGAAGGGCCTTGAGTTTGTTTTATCTGGGAGATGTCCATTCTGTAGGGTAGGGTGATTTCATGGTTAGAGGGACTCTAATTTAGTTTGTGGAACGGGGTTTGATGTGGTTGGAAAGTGTGAATACGTAATAAGAAACTAGGACGATGACTATAGTCAATGCCTTCGATTCGTTAATTCTCCAACTAATCGGGTATCGTTATGTACTCAAAACATTTTATATCAGCGCAACCAATCTCCCGTACATAAGACCAGACAAAAAGATCTAATTTTAACAGAATCACCTGAAAGTGAACGACTTTCCGGGGGTCTCGCGCTTCTGTTTGCGCACTCCACTGGGCGCCTCAAGCGCCTTCGCGTAAGGGTTGAATGGTCGTTTCTTGTGAAGTGTGCCGGTCTGGACTGGCCGTGCGTGCAGGACAGAGGCAGCGGCGTCATAATTAAAGGGCTCAGCTTCTTCCTTCTTTTCCTCGGGCTGCGGAGTCTGCGACGCAGACTTGTTCTTCTTTTCCTTACGGCGCTGTTTCTTGGACGGTTTCTCCCCGATGTTTATCACATCGCTAGAATCATCGGCTTCGGGCGACGGAGCTTCTTCGCTCTTCCGTTTGCGCGGGCCACCAAGCCCTTTGACCGTGAAGATTTTGTTCTCCTCCTTTTCTTCTGGTGCCTCAACAGGGGCTGGTGTAGGTTTGACGGGCAGAGGCTTGGCAGCAGTAGAGCCAGCAAGCTTGTCGCGAGCTTCAGATACTGTACGAGGCATGGGTGGCAGCGGGAGCGACAGTCGAAGGGCTTCTGCAGAGGCGACGGCAGAGTACTCGGGAGGGGTAAGAGGTTCCCGAGAGTCCAACACTGCACCCCAGAACTGGGAGACCTCGCAGCGTGCAGCGGTAGGGAAGTTCTCCTCAGCCATAGGTGGCGTCACGAGACCCTGTTCGGTTTCCGTCGCCGGAACAAATCGTCCCGTCTTTGTCGGCTTCACATACACATCACGCCATTCAGGGCCGTCAGCGCCTTCAATCTTCGCATTTTTGATGACCTCCAGGAGGTCCGCTGCTCTGTCCTTGGCGATGGGCGTGACTGGTGACAGTGTCCGGAACAATGTTCCCAAGTCCAGAGGCATAGCGTGGGCAACCTTGAAAAGGATGTGCTTGGGGAACACACACTGCACGCCTTCGTCCTCCTCTCGCGCAACTGCGTCACGCCATTGATGGACTGCTTTGAAGACGGCAAATTGCTCCTTAGACAGGACAGCAGGATTGCGCGATAAGTAATCATACCAGCCACCTGGTCCTTGGCCTGTGGCAGCATCATAAGGAGAGCGCTCATACCGTTGCAGAGCTTCGTCCTTTGACTTCTCCAAGACATAGTCGACGAGGTTGTTTTCGGGCGTTGAGTTCTGATTTAGTTCGTTGCGTAAGTGGTCGAAAATATGGAGAAGGTAGTGGGTATCGGATCTGGCATAGTCAAACATGCCCTCTGGAATCGGCCGAATTCGCCAGTCGGCCATTTGGTACTTCTTGTCGGCTTCGAAGTTGACAAACTTTTGCAGCAGGAACTTCAAGCTCCGCTTAGGGTAATTCAAAGCGCAAGCAGCGTGGTAAGTATCAAACATGCCAACCACATAGAGACCTAGATCGCGTTGAAGCCAGATAATATCCATGGACGAACCGTGTAACACTTTGAGGATGCTAGGATCCGCGAAAACCTCATTAAGCATCTGCAGCTCCTCCCTCCACGGTTTCAGTGTGTCGACCACCCAGTCTTTATCGCGAGTACTGATTTGCATCAAAGAAACAAGGCCATGATAGGAGTGCACATCGTGATGCTCTAGGTCAATCGCGATCTCCTTCGCAGATTTAAGCTCCTTCAGCATTTCCTTCACCCCTTCCAAGGTATCTACGAAAGTTGCCGTTGTCGACTCCCAAGGCTGGTAAGGAACGGGAGATGACACAGTGTAGGTAGACTCCGGATACTTCGCGGCGCGTATCTCGGTCTCATACGGGTTTCTAACACCCGTCGCAGGGTCTGACGATTCAACAGATTTCTCCAACGGAACCACCGCATGTGGTTTAGTCCTGAGCAATGGCTTGAAAGGTGAAGCATCGGCGTTGTCGACTTGACGCTCAAAATGCAGCTGAGGCTTCGGGATCTTCGACGGGCCATAATCGTAGATGGTGGGAAACTTCGAAGTAGTTTTCTTTGTAGCCTTCTCTGCACTCTGCTCCTGCTGCGATGGACTCAGTCTCTTAATCACACCGGTAAACTCATCCAAGCAAGCATCTGCTTTTTCCAAAAGGGCATCGATAACATCCACCACACCGCGCCAATTGTCTTCAATGGAGTCTTCATCTTGCAGGATCGGCGCGGGCAAATCGGTACCGGCTGTGGCGGCTTTCAAGAGAGAAGAGGTTAGTGAAAGAATCCTGCCACTTTGTTCATCGATAGACTCGGAGAGTTCGGCACTTGAAGTGCGGTGAAAACTGAGATCTTCAGCAGAGAGTTGACCAACAGTGCGCGTCATCTGCACGAGCGACGACGTTAACCGCTGCTGGAACGGCGGAAAGTCTGCTGCGGAATCCATTGTGCTTTAGCTCTAAGTAACCTCTTTCCAATGACAAATACAGAGCTGAACTAGTAATGAACAGACAAACAGGGCAAGGTTGTTTGCGCCTGGCAGTCCTGTTTAACCAATAATCACTTTTAGTTCATACAAAAAAAGAAAAGATGGAAAAATTCGGAGGTGGAGAAATGCAGACGCCGGCGGACTGCTGACCGCCTACTAAGTTCAGACTAGAAGGGTACAGCGGCGATGATCATCCTCATCTACTTGCTGGCGTATCATTACTTATCCTATTTGCCTCACTCTTCCAGCCATTGACACGGAAAAGAAAAAGCGTCTTCTGACATCCCTGTGAAGTCTCCTACTTAATAAGGCCCATCATGTCTGCCTCTATAGCACCTGAGTGCAATGATATCAAAGAGTAGTCTCCACCTAAGCCACGTCCAAATCCACTATGACAGCTAACTCTGACCAGGAAATATGACACCTGCTTTCTCAAATGGTACAGTGAAAGTAAGTTTTCCCGCTAAATATTTCTATATTTCTTAAAGTCTGACGAAAAACAGAATACCTTCGTGGCAATACAACATCCAATGACTGCGAAGAGCTGTTCTCTAAATACAAGACATGCTTAAATGTAACATATCACGAACCCGTATGTCATGGTGCGTGCTAACTTCTCGGCAGAAAGTGTTGAAAGAAAAAGGCATAGATTCTATGCTGGAAGATGCTCGGAAGGGTAACGCTGAGAATGATGCTGAGCACCTTCGGAGGAGTTGATCTTTAACTTCATTATACATGCTTCATCTCCGCTCCTCATACAAACTAATAAGCAAGCAAATGAGTCCAATAGCCTGAAATATTGATATTGTTAATGGCTAGACCATATCTCAATCTGCCATGAGCGGCCAAGCTTTTGCGGCGCAAGTTCTCTTGCAATGTTTGTTGGCAGCTCAACGTGAAATAGGTCTCAGGCTCATTGTCCGGATCTCTGGCAACATAATGCTGGTTCTTGGAAACGCCACGTTTTGCAAGCCAGTTAAGGCTTCATGTGTACCACAATGTCTACGATGACTTCTTTGGAGTGCCTCACCTCAACTTGCTGATTTTAACAATTCTGTACTAACACAGTTGCCCTCATGTACTTATATGTAAACTAGATTTTTCCTCAGACTATATAGCATTTAGGGAACCTTCGCCTGATACGATTGATGTGGACCGTTGCATTTGTGAAGTAGTATATTTAGCTTGACATGGGACGTCAGGGGGAGAAGGATGATCTAGCCTGGAGATCTTTTGCGAGCGATTCATAGGAATGGGTATTTTACTTGAACTATACAGAACATGCGAAGGACCAACTCACACTGAAACCAGATCACTAAATGAGTAGTACTGAATTAGATTATATTATTTCTATGTGCATAAACACGCGTAAACTCATTTCCAAATCTCATCCATCAAAGACAACAGGTGTCACATCATCGATGTCCTCGTCTCCTCATATCACCCTGACCGAACCCGCCTGGAACCTTCAGTAACCCATTCGCCGTTGCACCCATTCCCCCAACCATGGTAGAGGAACCGCTGCTGCCACTATTCGTTTTACGAGGCTGGGTCAACAAGGACCACACCTCGGCCATTCCGGCCCGACGAGCAGGAAGCATACTATATTGCATGCTGTAGAGATTGCGACGGTGGATTGGGGGCACGAAGCGGCCTGTTACCAGGCAGAAGATCACGCGCGGCGAGAGATAGTGTTTTCGGAGGCGATGGCCTAATTGGAAGTATTGGTCGAACATGGCGCGAAGAGTTAGGGGTATTGACTGATTTTTGTTTAGTTTGGGTATTCTTTCCCAGAGTGGGGATAGTTTCAGATAGGGTGGTAGTGAGTGTGGAGTGGCATACCTCAAGATGGATGTATGGTACTGTGGAAGCCGAATCGGTGTTTGATGACTTGTCGTGCTCTTCGCGGAGCTCAAAGTGAATGCCGCCTGTAATTGCGGGTTAGTTATGTATTGCTTGATGATCCGCCATGTGAGAGGGTAAGAACGCACCTGGCAGTCGCCGGGAATCTTTGACCCGCAGCATCAAGGCGAAGAGTGGGAAGTGGTTCAAGAAAGCCAGACATGTATCAAGTGCCGCTTTCACCGAGATGATTGACATCCGAGCGGTTGCAAAAGCCAGGTAGAAAACGATGATGGTTGGAAGGAGAAAGAAGAGCACTGTGAACAGGATCGTCCCAATCAGGAGTTGATCTAAATCGTAATCACATGAATCTATACGGTTGCGCAGCACATTCCGCTTCTTACCACGGAACAGGTGGAATAGGGATATGATGATAGTCAGCTGCCAATTGAAGATGCGCGCCGAGGCGATATAGAATGAGTAAATATGCACGGTCAGTATAGACACGAGATCTGAGAAGAGGGCAATCGGCATGCTGGCGCCTGCGAAGCTAGAGCATCCAACAATATATATAACGTGAGGAAGGTAAGGCTGTAGGTTTGCAATGAAAGCTTTTCTCGGTTAGCTGGAGGACACCAATGGGGGGAAGTCCTTACCAGCCCAATTCTCTATTACCCACAGAAACAGATCGCCCAGAAAAGCTGCGAGCTCGTTATTCAACTTTAAGCCTGCTGGCCAGTCCATCAGCCAAGAAATAGTACGTTGTAATCCTTCCACAGTCCAGCCAGTAAGAATAGAGTTGATTTGCAAAGCCACCCAATTTGCATTGTCGATTATATAGGAACCCAACGCGATACCGATAATCACGTCATTTGCGACAAGCCATAGACTGTTGTAGAATCGAATATAGTCTGGATGGCTGGTAGTTACACTCTCCCAATTATCCTTCCTCTGTCGCAGCTTGACGTATTGAATGGGCCAATAGCAGAACTGTTGGAGCCGAATATCGACTTGTTGGGCCGTTGCTGATATGTCCTTCAAAGCTGCTGCATCGGGCCGAGCGCGCCACTCTAGAATCTGGAGTACTATCTCAGCAATTGTTCGGTGGAACACAAGACCGATGACGAAGACCCGTGTGACAACAGGCCAGACCCATTGCCAGAACACATAGGAAACACCAAGGACAAAAAGATCCCACAGGGTGGTTGCAGATTCGACAACTCGCTCACCAACGCTCATACTCCTCTTGACACGAATCCCAATCAGATGGCTATTCTTTTCCATGAGCTTTCCCATCTCGTAGGCGCAATTCACTTGGTTGATTATGAGGGGCAGTGCCTGCTCTTTGTGCGACGGGACATGCTTAACGACTGTATGAAGCTTAAGCTTTTCAACCAACTTCTTAGACTGAGCCTTATCCCCTTCCTCCTCTGTATCAATCTTGTCGGATACCGAACCGGATTTGTCCGCAGCAAACACCTTGTCGCCCAGAGCAAGGGAAATCGGCTCTAGCGACATATACTCCATTCGGGTAGGATGGGGGCGATGAAACATGATAACCTGAACAGACACATTCGTCTCCGGCGGACAATATATCCGAGGGATCTTACACGACGATTGCGTACTCACATACAGGTGCGACGGGCTAAACGCTGTCGGTAGCTCTCGTGGATTGGTCGTCCCCAGCACATGCATGGCAGATCTGCCACAGAGCGTGAATATCCTCACAATCGGATGGGGGCTGTTGCGAAAAAGGATTCCGGCACGCAGGGCATTGTCGACATTCCGAGACTAGTAAATCCAAGGGCTTGTCAGTATTCCACTAGCAGAGCGTATGAAAGCCAACCAATGCGTCAGCTCACCTCCACATCCTCTAAGACCGTCAGCACAAATAGGTCCAGCTCCGAATTCTTCCACCCGACAATCACGCCCTGTGACGATGACCGAGGAAGGTCATATGGCCAAAATACCCGCAACAATCCATCGCTCATGAGCATGTTGTCATCCTTCAAACGTGATTAAAAGGAGCCGCGGCGGCGTAACTGTTCTCGGGCAGATACGCCCAGGTTGACGTATCGAGGGTGCTAGCATTAGACCTATTAGCTTCGGTTTTGTTCGCAGGCAGGTTTCTCGCTCCATTGGATTGCAGGCTTGATTCAATCGGTGTGTCGCATACCAGTTCGCCTTCTTTCGCAGCCAGATAGCTGATAGGGAGGACAAGGAGAAAGTAAAAAACAGACAAAAGCACAAATCCCTTCGCTGTTCGTGTCTATTTATATATGAGAATTAGTCCATGCGACACCAATGCCGTATAATGGAAGTCAGGCCCGGGCCGCGCGTACGACAGAGCCGAACAAGTATCCCGCGGCGGGTAAAAGATAGAGAGGGGCTGGCAAACAACACGCACCACAACGCCGTGATCCCAAGCAAATATAGCCAGTTCATATAATCGAGTAACGAGGTCCCACCTTGCGGTGATGTAGCCCGCGACGAAGATGCCGAGTGTGAGAATAGAAAAGGGGTGCATGAAATACGGTGGTTCGGCGGGTAACACCTTAGTTTGCGCGCATAGTTGTTGAAACCAGAATCAAGAAGGGAGTGACAGATTCAATAGTCCGAGATTGCACGGAAGGAATGACGATCGCTCAAGGAAGGCGACGAAACTTGCGAGACCAAAGGTTAGGACAACTGGTAAACTCCGGCTGTTTGTGGTGAGGACTGGAGACAATGCGCTTATAGATTGAGAATACTATCCCGGTAGAGCGTCTAGACCTCCGCGGTCCCACGTGACCTATGTGGATGCGTGGGCTATGCATTCATTTTTACCCTAAGCAAGACGTACAAAGAAACAATCACTGGAAATTTTTGGATAACATTATTCCTACACATTTTATCCTCATGTCCGTAGATCACACATACAGAGATTGATACCACCCCAACGCCGAACCGCTATGACCCCGAGAAAAGAAAAAGACGCAAATACTAATCTACAAAGCCTTGATGCCCTGGAAGACCTTGTTCGCTTGCAGCTTCTCATCCGCTTCGACAAGATCACGCATGATCTGTCGCTTCTCTTCCACTGTCAATTCTTTACCAGAGGACTCGGTCTCCGCCTTCCACTTCAACAACATCGCTTTGAGAAGGGCACTGCCCTCCTCAACTTCTTCCTGCGAGTATCCATCGATCGCCATGGATGACTGCTGGCCTTGCTGTTCCGATGAAGTAAAGTCTTCAAGTTCCTCTGCCTTCTGACGGGCCATATTGACCACTTTCTCCGGGAAGCGGACCAATTCGGCAACATGGATACCGAATGATTGGTCACAAATGCCAGGTTCGACACGGTACAGGAGAGTGACCTGGTTGCGCTTGGATTTTTTATCTTCACTGTCATCGTCGGTACCATCGCCGATGAAGGCGACTACGTGCAGGTTCTTGACAGACTTGGGGTATCGATCGGCAAGAGCTGTCAATTCATGGAAATGAGTAGCGAAAAGACCGAAGCAGCGAATCTCTGTGACGATATGTTCGGAGATGGCCCATGCTAGGCCGAATCCATCATATGTGCTTGTACCGCGTCCGAGCTCATCGATGATGATAAGAGACTCGGACGTTGCCGACTTGAGAATATTGGATGTCTCGAGCATCTCAGCCATGAAAGTAGACACTCCCTTGAGCTGTGAATCACTTGCACCAACACGTGCAAGGATGCAGTCAAAGATGGTTAATTCTGCTTCCGTGCAAGGCACAAAACAGCCCGTTTGAGCCATGAGAGCGATAACGCCAATCTGGCGAATATAAGTTGATTTACCTCCCATGTTTGGACCAGTAATAATCAGGAAGGAAGACTCGTCTCGGACCAAAGCCACGTCATTAGTGATGAATGAAATGTCATCCTGCATCTCCATACAGGGGTGACGCGCTTCCTTGAGAATCGTGTTTCCGGTGCCTCGTGGGTGCATCTTGGGCCGAGCATAGGGGGTCGGCGCATGGACAGAAGCATGAGCGAAGCTTACAATGACATCGAGGTGTGCTAGGACACCGGCAAGTCGTTCCAGGACAGGACAGTAGGACGCAGCGACATTGACAACCTCATTCACCAGGCCAGTCTGAGTTCTGTTGTAGTTCGAGGACAGTTGATCATGCTCCCGGCGAAGTGTTTGCATAGTCGACGTAGTAAAGTAGACGCCGTTCTTCTGTGTAGAGCATTCCTGGTACTCTCTCTTATTGCGGATACAGCCGGACTCGTTGCGAGTAAGTCGGAAGCACCATCCATGCACCCTGTGGTTCTCCAAGAACAACTTCTTCTCCATATCTTGATCGAGGTCCCGAGCTACCCTGCGGTGCTCAACGCCCATATCATGACGGAGCTTGTCCAGCTTCTTCCTGATGATCCGCAGACTCTCATCAAACTCAGGTTTGATGATGAACTCATGGTTCTCCAACGCATCAAGGTCAACCGTAGTCTCAACCATCTCCTCCAGTTTCACTAAGCTGTCGGAGTGACTCCGGAGGTTGGAAGTGTACTCCGTCTCCAGAGGCGTCTGATATTCTTCATCCATCACATTCTCGAGAGAGTTGACAAAGCCAGGCAAACGAATAGCAACCTGATACACCCGCACGACATCCTCCAGGTTTGCCTGTTTGCGCTGGAACCGCTTCGCTAGTCTGTACAGATCCGGGATGGAGCGAAGATGCTCCTCCTGCATAGTCTGTCTCAGCTCCGTGTTGACGACAAAAGCCTCCACAAGCTGCTGTCTCTTCTCGATTTCTGCCAAATCCATCAACGGCTGCTTGAGCCACTGCGCAAGCAATCTACTCCCAATAGGCGTCTTGCAGTGATTCAACAAGCCAAATAAACTCATAGTCTTCGATCCGTCCCGCGGACCAGGCATAAGGTTGAGAGCACGCAGCGCCGAGGAATCCAACTTCATAAACTGTGACAAATCGTGCTGATAGAGCTGGTACTGGCCGAAATTCGTAGGATCAGACATAACACCAAGGTATTTAATCAATGCAGACGCCGAGCCCATAGCAAGCTTCAACTCTGTCTGCGGCAGCGTACCAGCCGACCGCTCATCCCTCAACAACCTTGTCAGATCCTGCTCAATATCTTTGACACCGAAATCAGCCACTGGCCTCTCGGAGATGGCGATCCCGCAGCTATCCGCAATAGCTCGAATCTTCCCCAACTCAACGTCCTTTTTATTAGAGTCCATCTGCACCAGACACTCCTTGACCCCGAGCTGGATAATAAGCGACTCAAAGTTGGAGTAGATGTCGTTATCCAGAAACTCGCTGACACCGAGTTCCCGCACACTGGCGTCCGCAAAGCACACTCCCACATTCCTAGCCTCTGCGGCCTTGGCTGAGATCTTCACGGCTAAGATAATAGGAGCCGAGTCCATGGATAATCCACCAACGCTACCCAGCTCTTCTTCCACGTCTTGGAGGTTTCCCGGGCTAGCTTGTTTTACCAGCTTCCAATGGCCTTTACCCATTCCGACTGAGCCCCAAATTTCAATACGCTTGTTGAGTCGGAAGAGAGCTTCGCGCAGGAAGTTGCGGAAGACGGTCACGCTCATGGTAACGGAGGGAAGGCCTCCGGAGTCGCTGCGGCCTAGGTTGCGGAGTATAGATGTGGTCTTATACACAGTGCGAGCGATGAACTCGGCTTCGGCGCCATGCGCAGAATACCAGTCACCGCGGTCAAAAACGCGGATAGTTTCATCGTTGCTGTTTGCTGCGAGGGAACGATAAAAACGAATGAAGCCGACTTCGTCGTCAACCTGGAACAGGACAAAATGTTATTGAATGTTCGAGAGGGTGGTTGTTTTGTTCTCTTACCTTAAGTTCTGGACGAGAAGACATCTTGCCAGTTTAGTCTCCAACAAGATGGATGGAAGATTGACCATGAGCTCCGCCAGCGGTGATCTATTTCGATAATTCCAGGAGACGCGCTCCGTGGCAACGCGGTCACGTGCTGTCGCGTTCGCGATATATTGAAGCAGCATGGACCAATCACAGGAGCCGTTATCATTCTACAAAGTGACAGGTCGAAAAAACGCCTACATGTAGGAAATGAAGTACTTCATGCTCAGCATGATTGATATGTATTTCCTAATAGCTAGAGAGGTATATGATAGATGCAACGCTAATAGATGCTACATGAGGGGATAATAAAGTCATGTGTATCAAACTCCACAGATGGGGTATCCAACCCAGCAACACCAGACATCCAAAACACATTAAACAGTAAAAGTTTTGATTAGGGTTTCGAGGCAGGTGCAGGCTCGTCCTCGTCAAACTTCAGTTCGCGCACCTTCGTACCGATATCCTTCAGGTTGATTTCCGCAGAAGATTTCAGAACCACTGATTTGATATGATTCACGGTGACGAGATCGACCCATTGTCCAGCAATGTCGGCCCGAGCCAGCACTTCCAAGCAAATTTCCACCTCTTTCTCTGAAATAGGATTCTTCGATGAGTCCTGCACATTCTGTACAATCATCTCTAGTCGGAACGGCTTCCTCTGGGCAGCCACAGTAGCTGTTGGTCCACTACCCACATAACCAGCCGGCCTCAGCAAAGCCAGCACACCGGCAACTTCCTCAATCCGTTCAACAGCAGCACGACGAAGCAGTATCTCCTTTGACGGAGGGGGCGGTAATTTCGACTGACGGAGAGCCTTGCTCCTGATACGGTCCAGAAGTCCTGTGCGACGAGCATTCGTCGCATCGGGTGTTTTCCCAGGGGACTCCTCCACAGGCGCTGCTTTAAGCTTCTCCGTTTTCATTTTAATTACCCCGCCCTTCAAATCCTGCAACCGCTGCTGACCTTTCCGAAAGTTCGTGAGTGGTGTAAGCGACTCGTGGATGGACGAAACGCCCAGCGTTGCGATAAAATCCACCTGACTTTCATCACCATCAGCGGCATCCAGAGCCTTCTCCCAGAGCAAGTCGACGATTTGCTCGAACTGTTCTTGCAATGCATTATCGTCGATTACCCACTGCTCCCGACGCACACGCTCCAAACAGACTTTTCCCAATCCATAATTGGCAATTCGATAGTTGAGCCCTGTGGCAACCGATTCTTGCTCCCAAATCCATAGTAACCGTTGCAGATCCTTCACCACGACCTTCCGCTTCTTCCACAACCGCTCAACGCTGGGAAGAAACTCCCTCAAATCCGCGGGAGCAACCGTACCGTGGTGCGCATGGTGAAATGTCATCGCTTTAAGAAAAGCCGAATGCAGCTTAAGCAAGTCGTTCACACAAGCAGGACGTACATGGAGAACTGCCGCGCTAGGTCGCGACGTAGTCTTGCCCCTAGCACGCTTCGACGGCGAAGTCGGGATCGCAGATATTTCATCAGCGACAGCAGTCCGCGACGCACGGGTAGGAGATGCATAGTGGCCACTTCGGGGGGTAGACAATGACAGGTCTTTGATCCGGAGAGATTTCGAGGGCGTAAGCGCTTCGGTCGTGGGTTCCCCCTTTCCTTGAGTCCGCGGGTTACTGCAGTCTACGTTCTCGAGTTCGTTCAGTTTCCGTTTCTTGGAAGGCGAGACCGGAAGACTGGCCACGGCCTGCTTGCCATCTGCGGCTGATCTGAGACCGGGCTTGGTCGTTCTTGCGAAACTTTGGATGCCGGCCTGTCCTCGGGGAAGGGGGGCTTGTCGGGTGGATGTGCGCGGCATCGTGACTGCCTTGCTTATTGAGGATAAATGAGATGAGATATAGATTATGGAAGGAACATATAGACAATCAGGAAGGTTTGATGCATAAAATACAAATGCAATTGGGGAATGGTTCGCATGGAAGGAGTGGGTGGGCACTTGATATTATTTAGCTGGCGATTAGGTTTTTCCCTGGTGGAGCGCGTCGCGTTTGGCGCGTGTTGGCGTCGTGTCCGGATGCGGTTATATTGGGTCGCCCACACCGGATCTACTCCGCTGTCAGTGACACGAACCCCTGGGGGTTTTTTTAAGTATTTATAAGATGAATATGTTTGGAAGGGCTTTTAAGTCGAGTCCGAAGACCACAGCTCTACAAGTCCTCGAGTGGATAACTTATGTGCATGGCACTTCGTCACTACGGTAATCGGCATGACAGGAATGCAACATACCACACACCACACACCACTACTAGTTTCTACCAGTGGAGAGCCCCTCTATCGAATCCTCTAGCTTATCGAGATTATCGAGTTATCAGACGTGGTCAGTGCCAACGATAACCGGACACTACACATACAATCTTCTCCTTCCATGCAGAGTGCCAAGACTATACTTCTAATCATTACCACCATCACCAACCAACCATTTCAGTGATAATAACAATGCCAATGAGAAATAATAACATTAATCGCCTTCATGAAAGAGGATATGAGCTAGCTGATATTAACATAATTAAACCATTGCAATAACGCGCTTTATTCAATTCCCAGACGCAAAGTCACCAAATTACTTGCTACCACTCCACCAGCTCGACAAAGATCCCTTCGCCTCACTCGTCTTCTGCTCTACCGTCTTATCAAATTTATCGACGTTGGCCTTGATCGTTGCCGCCGCATCCTGTCGCACGTCATTAAGCTTGTCGAGACTCTCGTGAGCTAGTCCTGAAGCACGGTTGCTGGCATCTTGTGCTTGGGTGCGGACATCTGACACCTAATCGCTCATTAGCGCTCATTGGTTCTCATTTATACAATATGAGAAGACGAAAATAGATAGAACATCTGAGCCCATTTCAAATAGGGAGACAAAGAACCTACCGCTTCGTCAATATGCGCACCAGCTTCCGAACCAACTTTCTGGCCAGCTCTCTCGGCCTTATCCGTAGGGACCTTGTTGCGGGCTACATCGGCATCATCTACATAAGGTCAGTTCTGCGTTCACAACGATAAAAAGCTAACTGGAATTTGGAAGGGGACAAAAATACGTTTAATCTCTTGCTTCGCAACCTTTGGGTCACCACCGGCCCGATACAGATAGTAACCGCCAACACCAGCGGCAGCAAGAGCAGCGTAGAGACCGGTTCTGTTCGACATTGTTATCGATGGATTGCAGTTGCTGTGATGGGATTCGAGTCCAAGGTTGCTTTGTTAATGGAAGTCTTATCGGACTGGGTGTATGAAGGCGAGGCAAACAGGACTTTTAAAAGTCTGGGGTAAGAGGGAAACCCTGTCATGGGGTATGACGTCTGCGCCTTGGAGTTTCCTTGTGTTATTTTTTATTTCGCAGACTACGTATATGGTTTTTCACTGGGCATACTCTTCTGTTGGTTACCACGACTGCCAGTTACAGTTTCTGGAATCTACTAAGTACTTTAGTTCTTAGTTCTTTTTCTCTACGTATGTACATGTATGTACTAACTTCGTACATACACAGTACATACATATGTACATACCCAGTGGTCATGTCCCATCTGCGAATACCACTTGAAGGCTCTGCTCGAGCGTTGCATCGCTTCTCATCGACGTCACCTGATAGTCATGTCCTTATGTTCCTTCTCCATGGCGCGTTGTGTTTCAAGGAACCGATGATTTGATGTAAATGTGGGGCACAACGTCATGGGATCGTCGCCATCCGTTCCGCTTCGGGGTGCAGGCTGGAAGCATCCATTCCTGGGATCTCGGGAGTTCCTCTGCAGGCACCTTGTCTAGCTGGCACATCAGGGCTACGCATTTATGTAACAGGCGACAATAAAGATTAGATAGTGCATGGCCAACAAATTGACCACCGTATTTATTGTCCACTTATTTGCAAACTAGTTGATCACGTACATGCTCGCAGAATAACCATATCGAGACCCGAATGTAGTAAAACACGATCGTCAAAACCCCGCCACACAAACGAAACGTCCACACACATATATATAGATAGATAGAAACAAGGCAATCCTAATGAACAATTGAAGCCACACCACGACCAGAGTAGAAAAACTCCATCCAGAACCTCGTAGCTGAACTCGAGATTGAGGCCGATGGGTATCTTCATGCGCTATGGACAAACCCATAAACAACGCCCGAACATGCCAACATGCAAAAACCAGCGCGAGCCTGAGAAGAAAAGACAGACAGGGGAAACAACGGGAAAGGAAATGAAGACACCCGAAAGAGACTGGTAGCCACGAGTCAAACCCCCTCCCTGTTAATCGAGTCACTTATGCATCATATTCATCAGTCATCACTTCATAACAATTCCCAGTCAAGCGGTGGTGTATAGCTCCCAGGAAGTCAGTAGATCGAGGATCTAAAACGCCATAACTATATCCAGAATAGCGTAGGGGAAAAAGTAAGAGAAGGCCAGGTGACTTGTGATATGCAACACCGGCTCAACATCACAAAAGAAAAGAAAAAAGGTAGAGCGAGCGGGAGAGATCGCAACCTTTGAGGATTTCACCAGACCACTTCGGGCACCGCGAATCTATGTGAATTGGTCGATTTCCGATACATTGGTAACATCCCAGACAATATATTTCATGCAAACAGCTTTGCAGACTCCTTATTCTCACTGGTTGCGACAGCAACCAGAGCCTCGAGTCTACCCATACCGGGCTCTCTGCCCGACGGATGGTTATTGTTGAAGAAGTCAGTCCCAGGGTTGGGTTTGCTATGGTACCCATCAGAATGTGATGCCTATAGTTCAATTAGTGACCTGGCCGTTATCGATTCATCGGGTAACGGGTGCGTACTGTTTGAGACGTATCGGATGAGAAAGGGGTATGATGCGGTTCGATGTACCCATTGTTGTGCACAATGGCAGGGTGGTACTCAAGCGATGCCGTTGATGGGGTATGAACTCCTTCACTGCTGCTTGAATCCTCCGGGGATGTTCGAGTAGCATGAATGGCGCTGCTGTAACTTGGGCCGCG